CCGCTTTAGTGGAGAGGTGGACACCCCAGACAAAAAGTTTTCACTTTGCAGTGGGGGAATTGACAATAATTTTAAAAGATGTGTCCATGATATTAGGTGCACAAGTGGATGGGCCAACATTTGTAGGACATAATACAATTGGTCTAGGCAGATGATGGCGTAGCTGGCCTAATAGTTCTGATGATTTATTGGGCTCTCATCTAGAGGTAGATGTATTATACCATGACCCATTCAACCATCACATAAGCTCTAAGTTCAGAATGGGAGGCCCATGCATATATATATTCTACTTAGATGGTTATGAAGGACATTCTTGCGAGACTCCTACATTGATCTCACAGACATTGAGTTTTGGCAGCATGTCAGAGCATACATTTTATTTATTATTGGATGCCACATACTTCTAGATACTTCTGGTTTTGAGTTTCACCTACAATATATGTTGTTGATGCAGGAAATCATAATATTCAGGACTTTCTCACACGACACTGCAGTATTGTCGCACCTTTACAAAGAGCATACCGAAGATACAGGGCCCAAGAGGGTGAGCATTGCAGGCTACATTCATTTGTTGTAGATATGGGCATGGGAACATATTCATATCGATAGAACCTTACTTCACATCATGTACCCTAGACAACTCGATGGCTTGAGTGTTGGATTCAGTTACTTAACCATTATTTTTGGCATACACAATTCACATATTCACATGTTGTTAATGAGATACGATTCATATCTTGGTAGGTGCAATAAGGAATGGTTAAGGCAATTTCCTATTACTAACATTGCCACTTACAGAGATGAACTTGACGGACTAATGGAGAGCCAGGTAAAGCAAGTGAACTCACACAAGTTCTCTTAATTCATTTAGGTTATTAAAGTATACTCATATTGTTGTCTAATTTTTAATTTGGTTGTAGTTTACATGGGAGCCATACAAAGCAGAGATTCGTGCTCATGTAGTTCTGATTTGCCTTTCATCTTAGGAGATATAGCTAGGAAGAGTCCCCATTATAAGCTGGAAGAGAGTTGAGTGGCATCTTCCAGACCGAGTTCTTCAACAGTTCAGATACTGCCCCAAAACTAACATGATGCCTATGAAACCTTCATTCATTAGAGTTTACTAGCATGGAAAGGCTAACACTTATTGGGTTTTGTACCCTCAAACATATATAACCTGTTGGGAGAGTAGGAGAGCACACATTATGGCTGGAATTGTCCGTAGTGGTGACTATGACTTCCTGGTGAAGCCGTACTTGACCTGGTTTAGATCTTGGGCTACACTTTATATGTTGAAGGAACCTATGGAACTACCACTGCTACTTACTACCCAAGAGCACCCGCAGAGTGCCATATAGTACATGAAGCAATACTTTGCATATTAATTTAAATTTATTATTCTTATATAAGGTAATAGATTCTTCATTCAATTGTAGCAGGATTTCTTTCTTCAAACAAAGAGAAGACTACAATGTTATTTCGGAGGGACTGAAGATACTTCTATGCATCACGATGTTAACTTTATATGGGAGCTATGCCATAGTTTACGATAGCAAATATACATTAATGATGATCGATACTTTGAGGAGACCGAGTCTCAGCATACTACATTCAGCCCGTTACATACTACTGTAGATCCATATGGTGGTGACCCATCTTCTTACGCTAATGAGGGTCCCTCTCAGGGATACCTTACGTTTTCTACATTGTCGGACATTTCCTCAAGGTTGACGCTAGATTTTGTTTCCTCATCATTGGGCGATGATTCTAATAGTCAGGCCAATGCTACTAAGGAGGAGCAGCACCACCAATGCACTAGGTCATTATGTGCACCACAATGTTTTACACTTGGCACTAATGCGATACCACATCAGCATACAAGGGGGCGTTAGTGATGTGTACTATTTACCTTTTTGGGTGTTTTGCCTATATCTATGATAATGACATTGTTTTCCTTTGTTATGTATGTCATAGTGCATTTTGTTATATTTGATTTTGTTCCATTACATACTCATAGTTATTATGCGATAATGTTGTGACTACTCACTGCAACTTCACAGCTCAAGACAGTAATTCGTTGGTAACAATAGAAATCTGTTAAAAATTCTATTTTACAGGTATAAAATTATTCGATAATAATTCGCGTGTCGGAAAGTCTAAACCTGCAAACTTTTTTTTACCGAAAACATTTTCATCGAATTTTTGACGAAAAAATTGATTGGAAACTGGCATTTTCCTGTTAACGTATTCTGGCGTTTTATCGACGGTAGTTCCGGCGGAAATTATACGAAACCAAAAAGCATACATGAAGATACCTTCTCTTGCAAATGTCTAATGATAACAACCATAACAAAAGCAAAGCATACACAAAATTTCATTCTCTTACAAATGTCTAGTGAGAACATCCATAACAAAGGCAAAAAGAACACACCAAGATACCTGATCTCTTATCGAGGCAGCGACTATCTCTTACTGGAGGCGACAAGTAGAGGCAATCAACGGAATCGAACGGTACAAGTTTGACGGAGAAAGTCGGCGAGGGTCCTTAGACGCGAGCAAAGCAAACGAAGGAAGAGGGAAACAAATGAGGAGAAAGACGACAGAGGGGCAAAAATAGGGCGGATTATTCCTTAGTAGCATCACCAGCAGTTAATAAGTCGGTAACTATTCGCCAAATTTAAGTAAGCCAGCATAATGTTCGCTGGTAATTCTTCCGGTAATAACTTGCGAAAATTACGCCGGAAAATTTTTAAATGCCGGCAAAAAACCGACAGAATATGTGCCGGTGTTCTAGGGTTATATTTCGC